CGGTCATGAGGTCAGGAGTTCGAGACCAGCCTGACCAACATAGTGAAACCCCGTCTATACTAAAAATGCAAAAATTATCCAGACACGTGTCTGTAATCCCAGCTACTCAGGAGGCTGAGGCAGGAGAATCACGAACCTGGGAGGCGGGGGCTGCAGTGAGCCAAGATTGTGCCCTTGTACTCCAGCCCGGGCCACAGAGCTAGACTCTGCCTCGAAATAAATAAATAAATAAATAAATAAAAATCAATTATTATAATCAAAGACTTCAACACCCTTCTTCATAGATAAAGCAAATTAAAAAAAAATTGACCTGAACACCACTGTCAACTTGATCTCATCAGCCTTTGTAGAATACTCCATTTAACAATAGCATAATACACATTTTTCTGAAGTTCGTGTGGATCACATATGACACATCTAATGCACTTAAACACATTTAAAAGAGAAGAAATCATACAATGTATGCTGTCAGACATGATAGCATTAAACAGTAAATCAATAACAGAAGAAGAGCTCGAAAACCCTCAAGTATTTGGAAATTAACACACATCTAAATAACACATGGGATAACAAAAAAGTCTCACAGAAAATAAATCAAAGTAGATAAAAATAAAAATTAACTTACCAATTTTTGTTAGTGTAGCAAATGCATTACACAGGGTCAAATTTGTAAGACCTATTTTAGAAAAAAATAAAGGTAAGATATCAATAATTTAAACTTTTATCATACAAAATTAAAGAAAAATTTAAACTTAAAGAATATAGAGGAAAAGAAATCATAAAAATTAACATGGAAATAGAAAAGCAAATGCTGTATATTCTCACTTATAAGTGAGAGCCAAGCATTAAGTGTACATAGATATGAAGATGGGTACAATAGACACTGGGGACTACTAGAGAGGGAGGAGAGAAAGAGGGGTGTCAGCTGAAAAATGACCTATTGGATTCTATGTTCACTACCTGGATGATGGTATCATCCATACTCCAAACCTCAGTATCACATAATATGCCCATGTAGTAAATCTCATGTGTACCCCCTAAATCTAAAATAAAGTTAAAAATATATTTTTAAATTAAAGCAGAAATGAATGAAATTGAAAACAGGAAAACAATAGAGAAAATCAATAAAACCAAATGCTGGTTCTTTAAACAGGTAAATGAAACTGATATACTTCCTATGAGGCTAATTAAGGAAGAAGGAAAAGGAGAAGAGAATGAGGAAAGAACAAGGAGGAAAAAAGAAGGTAGAGAAGGGAGAGGAGGAGTAGGAAGAGAAGAAGAATTATTTAAAATTGCTATTTCAGAAATGAAAGATATGTCATTACTAATAATTCATGACATTCATAGGATAATATGATTACACTATAAACAACTTTATGCTAGTATAGTTGATAATTTAGGCAAAATTGATCAATTTCTTCAATGACAAAAAGTAACAAAACCCAAACAAGAGAAATACGTAACCTATTAATATATCTATTGATGTCAATTACTTTAATAGAGGAGGCCTATATCTATAAAAGTAATTATAAACAATAACCTGACAAATAGTGCCAAGTCCAGATGTGTTCACCAGCGATTCTTCGAAATAATTATAATGTAAATGCTATGATTTTTCTTCTGGAAATTAGAAGCTTAGAGAACACTTCTAACTCATTATATGAGTTCTGCCTTATCCCAATACCAAAAACAGATAACAATGTTTAAATAAAAGTAAATTATAGGACAATATACCTCAAGAACATAGACTCAGACTTCATCAACAAAATAACAACAAATTCACCACTATATAGGATAATTATACACCATGCCACGTAGGATTATTTCTAGCATGTAAGACCAGTCAATAATTCAAAAGTCAATTAGTGGAATCCACCACTCCAACCAACTTAAAATAGAATATTCTGGTCCAGATCTAACTAAATATGTACAGGGGCTATGTGGGAAACTATGTGGGAAACTATAAAATAAGAATAAAAATTCAAAGTTCTAAATATATGGAGAATACCTTTCATGCTCATAGATTAGAATTCTCTCTCTCTCTCTCTCTCTCTCTCTCTGTGTATGTGTGTGTATATATATATATATATATATATATATATATATATATATATTTTTTTTTTTTCCCAAGACAGGTTCTTGGTTGTTGCCCAGGCAGGGAGTGGTGGCACCATCTTAGCTCCTACAGCCTCACCTCTCCCCAAGACAGGTTCTTGGTTTGTTGCCCAGGCAGGAGTGCAGTGGCACCATCTTGGCTCACTGCAACCTCCGCCTCCCAGGTTCAAGCAATTCTTCTGCCTCAGCCTCCTGAGTAGCTGGGATTACAGGCGCCCACCACCACGCCTGGCTAATTTTTGTATTTTTAGTAGAGACGGGGTTTTGCCATGTTGGCCAGGCTGGTCTTGAACTCCTGACCTCATGACCCACCCGCGTTGGCCTCCCAAAGTGCTGGGATTACAGGTGTGAGCCACTGCACCCGGCCCCTTAATATTTTTATGATGGCAATTTTTCCCAACTCAATGTGTACCATCAATGCAATACCAATCCACAATCCAGAAAATTATATTGTAAGTATCAATGAACTAATTCTAAAGTTTATACGGAGAAGCAAAAGGCCTAGAATGACCAACAACTAAAGAGAAGAAGACTGGAGTACGGAAACTATTCTATTTCAAAGCTCACTGTAAATTTATGTGCACTGGTCAAGGAAGAAATATATATCATTGTAAATGATCATAAAGTCTAGATTTAGAATGATACAAACATAGACAACTATTCAACAAAAGAGAAGACAAAATTAATACAGAAAGGTAAACTTTGTAATAAGTTGTTCGGGAACATTTGGAAATCCATATGAAAAACAAACAAATCTGGACACAGAACTTACACCTTATACAGAAATTAACTCAAAATCAATTACAGACCTAAAAGTATAATGCAAAGCTATACCATTATAAATAAAAATCAGCAAAATATTGACATGATTTTGGATTTGTCAATTAACTTGTAGATACAACACCAATAATAGGCTGCATGAAAGAAAAAAAAAACGATAGTAAACTTTATTAAAATTATTAACTACTCTACTGTTAAAGTGTAAACAGAATTAAAAACCAGCTACACTGTAGGAAAAAATTCTTGCAAAACATATCTGATAAAATATTTGTATCCAAAATAGATAAATAAATTTTAAAATTCAATAATTAAAAATAAAAAATAGGCAAAATTCTGATACCTAAATAGATAATATATACAAACTATAGATAAGCATAGGAAAAGATGCTCCACATTATTAGTCATTAGATAAATGCAAATTAAAACCAAAATGTGATACTACTACATACCTATCACAACGAAAAAAAAAATCTAACCATACCATTATACATAGCAACAGAGTCTCTTATTCATAGCTGTTGGGAATGTCAAATGGTACAACCACTTTGAAAAACATTTTGGCAGTTTTTACAAAGTTAAGTAAGTCTTACCATACAATCTAGTTATTATGCTCCTAGGTAATTACCCAACTGATTTAAAAATTATATCCATGCAAAAGTCTGCATGTTAACGTTTAAAGCAGCATTACTCATAAACAACAAAAACTGGAAGCAACAAAGATGTCCTTCAATAAGGGAAAGTCTAAACCACAGTTAATCCATACAATGATGTATTATTTTTCAACCAAAAATACTGTGCTATCAATCATTAAAAAGCATAGATGAATCTTGAATGTATGATGCTAAATGAAAGCAGCCAGTCTAAAAACTGCATACTATGGTTGTAATGACAGGACATTATAGAAAAGGCAAAACATAGAAATAGTATAATTAACAGTGATTGTCAGTGGCTAGTGGTTTGGGGTTGAAGGAACATTGAATAGGCGAAGCATAGATTTCATAGGCTGGTGAAACTATTCTGTATTATACTTAATGGTAAATAAAAGATATTAAGCATTTATTAAATCCAAAACTTTATAGCCCCCAAAAGTAAACCTTACTGTATTCACATTTAACATATCATTTGTGTAGCTGGAGATCTCAAGATGAATATGGAATATGAAAAAGGCTCTAAATGTATTACAAATGTATAAATGCCATGGCGGAAGAAGGTGCTAATCTAAGAAAACTTAAAAATGAGTAGTGATTGTAAAATGAAAGGCAAAAAGAATTATACATAGCATTCTACTTGATAAAGTTTCTTTTCTTTCTTTCTTTTTCTTTTCTTTTCTTTTCTTTTCTTTTTTTTTTTTTTTTTTACAAACCCTTGCTTGTTACCCAGGCTGGAGTGCAGTGGCTAGATCTCGGATCACTGCAACCCCTTCCTGCCGGGTTCAAGGGATTCTCCTACCTCAGCCTCCTAAGTAGCTGGGACTACAGGTGCGTTCCACCCTGCCCAGCTAATTTTTTGTTTGTTTGTTTTGGTGTTTTTAGTAGAGATGGGGTTTCACCGTGTTGGCCAGGGTGGTCTCAATCTCCTGACCTCATTATCCGCCCTCCTTGGCCTCCCAAAGTGCTGGGATTACAGGCCTGAGCCACAGCGCCCATTCACGATAAAGTTGTTTTTCATAAGGGCAAAGCTGAGCAGTTTTGAAAGCACTATATATGCCTACTGAAATTAAGCAAGTATGGAAATGGATGCCAGATAGAGAGAATTAGGTTTCTCACTGTTGGAATTGGAGGTTAGACTTGAGCAAATTGAAAAGGCTATAATTATCAATGCCTTAATGAATTAGAGCTGAAGAAACCAGTATGGAATGTTCAGCTTAATATAGGTAAAAATGTTTACATACAGAAATATTTATAGATATGTTTCTATACAAGGGTTATTATACACACACACATGCCTCTGCTCTGTCAGCTTAGAGGGCCTAGAAGAAACAACCCGTTTTTTTCCACTCTCAGTCTTATTCAGCCTGGTCTCTTTTGCCAGGGAGACTCATTACATACAGTGCAGAAACAGACATGCTTAAATGCATTCACATGGAATGGCAGCCTATATAGGATGATCAAACACATCTAATAAAGAATCAGATTTAACTTCTAGAAATCAAAAGAAAAAATGAGAGGAGTTATGTTCTTTAAATGAAAAGGGAATATGGGTGGATAGGCAGGAAAACTCCCAATATACTTTCGAATACTAACTCACCACTCAGATGTACAAAGCCACCTAGTAAAGACACAATATATCTGCCCCTCAGCATCTGGGATGGGGAAGCAAAGCAGTACGGAGGCTGGGAGGCGAAGTGCGAGCTCTCCAGACAGTGGCTCGCTCACGCCATCCAGACCGTAAGATTTACTCATGAATGATTGACTGCCCTTTAAATTCTTAACGACCTGTTACAGACCATCCAGGATCTCATTTTGGATCTCCGAGTACGTTGCGTAATGGTCACATTGCAGCACACGGCGGAAGAAATAAAGAGATTAGCTGAAAAAGAAGACTGGATTGTTGATATTGAAAGACTGACTTCTCTACCATGTCAGTTTGAACAGTGCATCGTGTGTTCTCTGCGGTCACTGAAGGGGGTTCTGGAGTGTAAGCCGGGAGAGGCCAGTGTCTTTCAACAACCTAAAACACAGGAGGAGGTTTGCCAACTAAGCATTAATATAATGCAGGTTTTTACACACTGTCTGAAACAGTTGAGCATCAAGCCTGATGCAGATATAGATACTACACATCTCTCTGTTGATGTTTCTTCCCCTGATTTGTTTGGAAGTATCCATGAAGACTTCACCTTGACCTCTGAACAGCGCCTTTTGATAGTCCTAAGTAATTACTGCTATGTAGAACGTCACACCTTCCTAAATATCGCAGAACATTTTGAAAAGCACAACTTCCAGGGAATAGAAAAAATAACACAGGTTAGTATGGCCTCATTGAAAGAACTAGATCACAGACTCTTTGAAAATTACATCGAGTTGAAAGCAGATCCCAACATTAGCTACTTAGAACCTGGAATTTGTGCAGGATATTTTGATTGTAAAGACTGCCTGCTTCCAACAGGTGTCGGAAACTATTTAAAAGAAGCACTGGTGAATATAATTGCCGTGCATGCAGGGGTGTTCACTATTTCCAAAGAACTGGTCCCTCAGGTACTGTTCAAGGTGATAGAAGCAGTTTCTGAAGAGCTCAGTCGACTGATGCAATGTGTTTCATCCTTCAGCAAAAATGGAGCTCTACAGGCAAGACTTGAAATCTGTGCTTTAAGGGACACCGTGGCTGTTTACCTGACACCTGAAAGCAAGTCAAGTTTTAAGCAGGCCTTGGAAGTCCTACCCCAGCTTTCCAGTGGAGCACATAAAAAGTTACTGGAAGAGCTCCTGAACAAGTTCAAGTGTAGCATGCACTTGCAGCTCACCTGTTTCCAAGCAGCTTCTTCAACCATGATGAAAACATAAATACCTGCCAAATAAAGGAAGTCCAGGAAAATAACAAGGCTAAGCACTAGCTTTTATCATTCTCTCACTCTTAATTTGATGTGCGTCACTTCACATCCACGTGTTGCAGTCCCTGAGGCCCTGTATGTTATCTGTGATGCAGTGTGAGTGCCGGTCACTGTGTTACACTCACAGGTATTGGAGGGGCAGCCGCAGACTTCAGGGTCCCCTAAAGGAAAGACCAGGCTCCGTGTGGACGGCCAAGTCCCTGCCTGCCGTTGCCCCCTCCTTCAGCAGGTTACTTTCTCTCTGCCACCTCTTATCCAGTGAAGGATCTTGCTCAGTAGCTGGAAGAATGCTGCTCGCACACAGTCTCTTCTCTGAAACTTCAGGATGCTCTTTGGTCACCAGGCAGTGGGAGCTGTAGACCAGCCGCGTGCACCTGCCCCACATTCAGTGCTGACTGGCTTTACTGGAATACTTTCAGGTCACCGTGACTTCTCTCACAAATCAGCTGCCCGCCCAACTCCATCATACCGTTGCATCTGAAAACTGAGGAATTCTCTATTTGTAGTCGGCTTGTCAAGGTTTTCAAAATTTTCTAAGGTTATTTTAAAGTCTCCTTTTTTAAAAGCTAAAATTAATGTCCTCATCAATGCAAGTATTTTTAGAGCACAGTGTAGCCATGTACAGTTTCCATTATTTAAAATAAATAAAAGTGTTGGTTCATTTGATGTATGGGGGAAATCATAGTAACTGGACATGAAAGTTTAATCTTTTACAAATGTGCTTGATAAAGCTGTTAAGAAATACACAGAATATTGTCTTTCCTAAGCATGTTAACTGTTGTATCTAACTCAACTATGAGCTAAATTTAAAAACTGCAACCATGAATGTTTGTGTTATTTTAAATATCCAGTGCAGCACATTCAGCCAATAAAGAATCTGCCTTTAATGTAAGCTGTAATTTACTTGAAAAAGAAAGACAGAATATATATATGTCACATATACACACATATATATGAATATATATATACACAATCATAATTTAATGATGGAGTAATGCCCAGTTCAATTCTTATTATCTCATCATGCTTTGCCTTAAAGAACAGATTCTCTCATTCTCATAAAGTAGATGGGAGTGGAATTCTGCTTCATTCATGGGAGATCTTTCAGATAATTGACCATTTCTGCTAGTACTGTTACTGTTATTAACTCCTGGTAAACATAATGTTCACCTATTAGTAAATAATACTCTTGCATTCAGAATTACAATCTATAAATCTCAATTGTATAGTTTCTTCAAGAAGTTCTTGAATTAATCTTGTTCAAGTTCTTGAATTAAACATGGAGATTCTAATTAATCCAACTAGTAGAAATAAGCATAATATAATTTCTAAAAAGAAAACAACAATCTTAAAGGAACAAGTTCCCCTGTAGCTCCAAAGCACTATTTTAATTTCTCTCTTTATATTAAAATTCAAAAGAGAGAGTATGCAAAAGCTTTACAAATTGCTCACATTTTTGATCCGTTTTAGTAAGAACTTGAAAAGAAGAGCAGTTAAAACAATAATGATTTCTATGCTTGTGTAACATTGGCTGTTTCTTGGAGATAATATTTTCATTCAATTATGTCTGCAAGCACCATAACTTCTATTGATGAACATGGATTGACATAGTTGTTTAAGCCTATAATGAACTAAATGTTACACAGAATACAATTTTCCTCTTCATTTACCTTAATTTATTCTAGTTGTAAATGCCATTGACTTCCATGATTACAGAATAAATCTCGCTGTAGGATCAATTACTACTGTTTAGAATAAAACTTCAGTTGCTTTTTAAATGATATCCACTGGGTATTCCATTTTAATTTAGCATAGCTTTTACAAAAATACTGGATCTCTAATGAATGACATACACGATTACATCTGAGCCATTTTATACATAATTATCGAAATTTTGATAAACTTATTTTTCCTTACAATTCATTAATTTCACCATTTAAAAATATATACATACCTAAGCATATGCTTCCAGGGCTTATTATGTAATTTACCTATTTGTTATTAGAATTTTTTTTCTGCAAAATAAGAATGAATATTTCTTTATGTATGAAATTTTCTAATTGATTTTCTTCTCTTCTTGAGGAAGACCAAGATCATTTAACAACTTTTGTCATCACTAATTATAATTGAAATATTTTTATTGTTCCAAGTAAAATTAAAGTTAAAATGCAAGTCAATTTTAAGGAAAAAACCTTACATATATCTTACTTAATACAAATATGAACTTACACATATACAGTATTTTAAACAAATAGTTTTCAAACTTTTTAGTCTCCAAGTCACTTTACTCTGTAAATAAATTATTATGGAGCAAAAAGGGCTTTTGTTGATAGGATTGACATCTATCAATATTTACCATATTAAGAATTAAAGTTGAGAAATTTTATAAAAATATGTATGCATACATTTCACTAGCTTTAAAACCAGTGGCCTAATCACATTGTCACTTTTGTGTTTTGTTCACTGAAAAAAAAAGACAATTTCAAACAACTGAAATGTTCTTGAGATCCCCACACCACCAACTTGAGACTATTTGATCTAGTTCAATGTAAACAGTAGTTTTATTAAACTCTAGTTTAACTTTGAATATGAATATGTCTATTAATTGTTATAGGCTGTAGCATATCTATATATACTAAATCTTATAAAGTTTCAAATGACATTTTTCTTTACATAGTATCTCTAAAAGCACAATATATTGCTTTAAAATCACTTGTTTTTCTTGATCAGATAAATGTGACTAAGGAGGAGGAAGAACAGCTTTTGTTAAAGAAGATATGGTTTTAAACTTTGCAGAAATTTTAAACCTTACTCTCAGATGCTAAAGTGTGATTTTAAATGCTATCATGATTATTGTTTTATCCATACAATTTTAAAACTTTAGTTACATGCCAACAGTTGTTGTGATAGATATCATTTACTTATGTGTTTCTTCTGAACAAATAAAAACAAAAGCCTTCAAGCTTTAAAATGTGATTACCAATTTTCTATTAAAATTTAGATTACATACTGTTAATCATTAGCTCAATGGATAAACTGCTAGTTTTGGAGAAAGAGAAAAAAATAAAACAATAATGTATATTGGTATGTGTGAAATAAATATATGTAATGCCATAAATGTGTGTATGTATGTATAGATATCTAGATGCAGATAGATAGATTTTAGGTAGGTAGGTAGGTAGATAGATAGATAGATAGATAGATAGATAGATAGATAGTTGTGATGTTTACACTAATGTAATGTAGAAAAATTAAATGCCTAACTGCTTTTCAGTAAATATATTTCTGTTCTACTACTGGTACCCTAAGTAACTGACATCGCTTTAACAATGGAATGAAGTAAAAGGCTTATTTATTGAGGGAATATCAGGATCGACAAATTTATTGATAACAGGGATTGAAAATAAAGTGTTTTATAAAGGAAAGAGCAGAGATTATGAGAATATTTAAAATGAAACTGGTAAGTTAGACTGAGTGACAATTGCGCAGTGAAGAGGAAATAATATTTCAAATAATCTGATAGATGAGTAGACACTGGACAGTGCATAGATGGAATGATCTTTCTCACAGAGGAAAAAGCTGATATCAGAGAGTATTTACAAAAATCTAACAAAAGTTGCCAATGACTAGGGTGAATAAGTTCAGAGTGACATAAGAAGAGACTGCAGAGGTGAGCAGATATTAGATATCAAAGGAGTGTGGGTATTTTTTTTCTATATTTATATTAGAAACTATGTAACACTGTTCTCCTATGAAAAACAAGTTGTATGTATTTGTGAACATGAAGGGTGATAAAATTATGAACTAACTGAAGATGTCAAGTGCAAACTAGGAACAAGACCTATCCGAGGCAAACTAATTCATAACCTATGTTACATATAATTGCTGTTGTCATTGTGGTCATGACTATAATTTAATATGCCCATAGTCTTTAATTCTACTCAAATTTATAGCCTATTTGTGGGAAGGGAGTAAAATATTTATTAGGGAATTAGGAAACAGACATTGGCTGCAGTATTAAAATATACAGAATATTAAATATATGGTAATATTGTCATTTTACTCTTTTCTCAGAAAGCTGGCTTTTTCTTTTTAAGACTGTACAAACAAATCTAGTCTTTATTCATAAAATTCTAAAAAGGCATATTTATCAAAGTCTCTTTTCCCCTGGCTTCCATGCCTGGTGTACATGGATTCACAAACATGCTTAATACAGTGTTTGTATCTATAATTATCCAGTTTGATCATTTTATCTAAACAGAAATAGATAAAAGTAAAATACTAACACTTGCTTTCATTACATTTGCATAAATGTCAAGTAGACCTACTAAACATCTATCAAGGCATACTACCTTGTAAGGGTGATTATCATAAGTTGACATACAAAGGTTTTATTAGAGCTGTGAAATTTTGACTGTCTTCCTAGTTCATGTTTATTCCTTTTGAAATACATTATTGGCTGAAGTTTTTTGTCAGTCTTGATTCTTGCCACCAGGAACACAAAATTTTTTTAAAAGAAAAACTTTATCTGAAAAAAAAAATTAACAGCTTAAATTATTTTTTTTAAAAAGACATAAAGGTCAATCACATGAATAAATAAAATAAAAGGGGGAAGTAAAGCAATTAAAAAAATAATTTTCATGAATCATTAGGGTAAATGGTAGAGTAAGGACCTCTGGAAATTATTTCATAAAAGCAATACTAAAACTGACAAAATAAAATATTAGAATTAACTTCTTCAGAACTCTAGAAAATTTGTCAAAGGTTTGCAGCCATTCAGGGAGTGTTTATTAAAACACACGCACAAAAAAACGGCTGAGTCTTGGTAAGAACAGACAGCTTCATGATGTTTTAATTTGTTCTATTCCCATATCACCCTGTCTAGCCCTATAGTAGCCATAAAAACCAACAGACCATAATTATGGTGAAGCCAATTGCCTCGCAGCCACCAATGGGAACAGAATGGAATTACAACTGCTTTTGAGACTGCT